CCTGGGATTCAGCGAGAATTCACTTCACTTCTTGGTCCGCAAATAGCCCACGAAAAGGAGCCCTCCAAAAGGAGCCCATGCCTCCATACCCTGCTCACGAGCCCAGTGACTGCGACAGACTGCGTGGCACAGACCAATCAGAAAACGATACGCTGACTAAAGGGACTTGGGGGCAGAGAAAAGGGAAATATAAGGCCTGCCCCCTCCTGCATTAAACGAGCCTGCAGCACCTCGCCTAATGCTTGCTTCTACCTGACTCCTGGTGTCTGTGTGTTGACTCTGTGCCTCTTGCCCCCCCTAATCGGCAGGGGACCTGATCCAGGTCAGGGTCTTCACAGCTGGCCTGAAGAGAAACTGCAATCCCCCCTCCCCACTTTACTGTTTCTTACTAATTTCTTCTTATTCCAATATCAAATAGCAAACGCTTTGAGCCAAGTGTTCATAACGATGGAAGAGACAACTAAATTTTTGTTTGAATTTTTTTTGTTTTTGGTCTTTTTGAGACCGGGTCTCCCTGAAGCCCCAGCTGGCCTAGAACTCACTATGTAGACCAGGCTGGCCTTGAACTCACAGAGATCCGCTTGCCTCTGCCTCCTGAGTGCTGATACTAACGGCGTACACCACCACATAATAAACATATTCTTGAAATAAGCAGATACTATTTCAAAGGAAGAGGATTAGCAAATAGGCCATTCAAATGTGGCAGACGAAAATGAGCTGCTGTCAGTAGGGATCAGAATCTACATTAAAAAAATGTCCAAGGTCTTTTGAGGCTTATTCTATCCATTTTCCTGTCAAGTTTCAACACTAACATGAAAGAAAGGTAAAAAGGGTTATTTTTAGGTATGGAATTCACCTGTTTAATGCTGCTAACTTGAGTTTAATTGCTACAAAAGAAAAAAAGCAGGAGAAACAACACTGAGGCTCTGAGTTTGATAAAAGTGGGCAGAAGCTGGGTGCCCTAGTTACATAAACTCCAAGTTCCAGTATACTTATGGACCAAAAATAGTATAATATTTTTGTCACAGGGTTTTTGTTGTTTTGTTTTTTTGGACAGGGTCTCACAGAGATCTGCCTCTGCCTCCTGAGTGTTAGGATTAAACACATGCACCACTATACCCTTGTTACAGGGTTTGAAATAAAGCCAGAAAGGGGTAAAATAACATATATAGAGTCTACCTTTAAAAAAAAAAAAAAAAGGGCAATAGTGTCACACACATCTTTAATCCCAACACTCAGGAGGCATAGGCAGGTAGATCTCTGAGTTTAAGGCTAGCCTGGCTTACATAGTGAATTCCAGTCCACCCAGAACTACAGTGAGACCCTGTCTCTAAAAAGAAAAAAAAGAGGCAGGTGTGGTGGTGCATCCTAGCACTGGGAGGCAGAGGCAAGTGGATCTCTCTGAGTTCAAGGCCAGCCTGGTCTATATAACAGAGTTTCAGGCCAGTTGGGGCTAGAGGAAGACCCTGCCTCAAAAAAACAAAACAAAACAAAACAAAAAGCTCTGGTAGCTTATGCCTTTAGTTCCAGCACTTTGGAGGCAGAGAGGCAGGCAGATCTCTGTGAGTTTGAAAGCAATGGGTCTACAGAGCAAGTTCTAGGCCAGCTGGGGTACAAGGAGACCCTGTCTCAAAAGTAAAAACAAAGAAAAAATTCACTCATAAAATCAATGAAAACCAAAATAAAAAAAGCATTTATTTGTTTCAAATAAAGTAGAGGCATGAGGACCTCCATGAGTTTGGGGTCAGTCTGATCTACATAGTGGTCTTCATCCAGATCAGTCAGGGCTATTTAGTGAGACCCTGTCTCAAAAACCAAAAAATAAATCAACAAATAAAATAAAAATTAAAACCATTTAAATATTGACAAATAAAGATGTTTTTCTTCTAAGCTACATTATTACATCATTTCACCATCTATAATATTGCTTTACCATTCATACTACAAACTTTTAAATGCAAAGTTAAAAAATTACATGGTCTACAAGTCAGGAGTTTTATTTCATTTTGTTTGTGCTTTGCATTAAACTGTTATAAAGCTAAGCATAATCCAAATGATATTTATGAGAATTCAGGCTATCCTGAGAGAGGCACAGGGGCAAGAACCACAGCACAATGATGAACATGGATAAGGCAAGACTGACAAACACAAGTCACTTAGTTTCTATGGCTCTTAGACATCTCACTGTAAATATGGGGACTAAATTACCTCTCTTGGCTCTCTAGTTTAATTTTAAAAAGATTTTTCCAAGCTGAGCATGGTGGTGTACAGTTATAATTCCAACACTCAGAAAGCTAAGTCAGGAGGATTATGAATTTGAAACCAGCCTGGGGTTAACTATGTCATGACATGAGCCTTTAAAAAAAAAATAGAGGCCCGGAGTGGTGGCTCACCTCTTTTAGTCCCAGCACTTGGGAGGGAGGGAGGCAGAGGCAGGAGGTAAGTTTGAGGCCAGCCTGGTTTACATAGTGAGCTCCAGGCCAGGAGGGGCTACATAGAGATCTTGTCTCAAAAAGGCCAAGAAAAAAAAGAAAAGAAAAAGATTTTTCTAATTTCTAATTGCTAACTAAAGTAGAAAAGAATTTTCAGTGCTGGAGAGATGGCTCAGCAGTTAAGAGCACTGGCTGCTCTTGCAGAAGACCTGGGTCCAAATCCCAGCCCCAACACGGCAGTTAACAACTGCCTGTAACTTCAGGTCCAGGGGATCCAACACCCTCTTCTGACCTCCTTGAGCACTGCACTAAGGAGGTGCACTTACATACAAGCAGACGATACACTCATACACATAAAATACCAATAAATTTTTTAAAATTTAAAGTAGAACAGAATTTTAATCAAGTTATAGATAATATGTGAAAACATTCAAACAAAGCAATATGGAATGAATACAAAGTGTTATGCAAATATCAAAATAAATGTTAGAATGGAAAATGACTCCAGAGCAAATCATGCTCTGTAGTTAAACAGACTACTAAAAAAATCCTTTGAGAAACATATTCAATCAATTAAGACTGAGGATGCCAAGTGCAATATATTGTTATATTTATAGTTTAATGTCTTAGAATATTTCCTCTACTCTTTAGGAAGAAAAGAAAATACTTGAAGTGGAATTCTACATCAAATATAACCTTTCAGAAGAGTATGGAAGAAACCCTAAGCATGCAGAAGTAACAAATCTGAAGAACAAAATGTTTTGTGGAACTCTAAATACTAGACAAGAAGATGACAAATATAAGCTACGAAAGCCTACCAGACCGGCCATTCCCCAACTTTCCAAAATTAACTTCTTCTTACTCACAATAGGACTCAAGAAAAGGGTTTTATTTGTAAAGAGAGAAAAGCAGCATGTTCCTTTTTATTTTCCTTTCAAAATTTAACTTACATCATTACGTATAACTTCTCTTGAATCTGCCAGTAAGTCCATCAGTCTTGAAACACCTAAAATACAACCATGAGAAAAATACTGGCAGACTGAAAATACAGTGATTCAAATTACAATTTATTAAAGCACCACTTCGGTCACTTGTTTTAGGACATAGTCCTCTTTTGTTTTTTTTTTTTTTTTGCTTCAAAGTGCTTATTTTATTTTAAAAAGAGTAAGTTTTTTCCTTCACAATACATCCATATGATGGGTATCAATCTCCTTCTTCCTCTCTCTAGTCCTCATTTTAAAATGAAGATTATATAAGTCACTTACCCATGGGACTGACTAAAATAATTTGTTGCACTTGGGGCCCTAGTTGTTTTAAAAGAGAAGTGAGAAGTTTCACACCAGGCCAGCGGACATGGAAATCAAACTCCTGAAATATAAGAATTTAAACTGTTTAAAACTGTAATTCATATTTTCAGGAAAAATGTTTTCAACCAACACTGCTACCAGAAACTACAAGCGAAAAATGGAAATTTAGCAAACTTTTAAAACTAATTCTAAGAAATAAAAAGCAGGGGCTGAAGAATGGTTCAGCACTTAAGAGCACTGGCTGCTCTTGCAGAGGACCCAGGCTAATTCCCAGCACCCACAGGGTAGCTAACAACCATTCTTAACTCCAGTTCCTAGGGAATTAGACACTCTCTTCTCACCTCCATAGGCATTACATGACACAGGCACACTTACATACATGCAGAAAACGCACTCATACACAAAAAATTAAAAATAATACTAAGATATTTTAAAAATACATTTAAGCTGGGTGTGGTGGTGGCGCATGCCTTTAATTCCAGCACTCAGGAGGCAGAGGCAGGTGGATCTCTGTGAGTTCCAGGCCAGCTGGAGCTACAGGGAGACCCTATCTCAAAAAAGACCCCCGCCCCCAAAAAAAATTTTTTAAAAAGCAATAAAAAGAAAACAGAGCTAATGTTATACTGACTAAATGGTTATACTGACTAAAATATTAATAATAAAATAATATTTTGTAAGAATGTAAATTAAGCCGGGCATGGTAGCACACACCTTTAATCCCAGCATGCAGGAGAATCTCTGGGAGTTCAAGGCTAGCCCGATCTACCTAGTGAGTTCCAGGCCAGCTAGGGCTATAGGGAGACCCTGTCTCAAAACAAAAAACAAAACAAAACAAAACAAAAAACCAAAAACAAAAACAAAAAACAAAACCAAAACAAAAAGAATGTAAGTTAAAATGAAGATACTTTAACAGATCATGTATTCCTTGTAGAATGCATATGGATCTCTTAAATGCATGCAGAAAGTATAACACAGCAAACTTCACTACCTTTAAAGGCATATGCATGTTATTTCCTCAATAATACCCAAAAAGGCAACAAAAGAAACTTATTAAGATGTTAAAAACATCAAGATTCCATATTTACCTCCAACAAAGATAACAGGAGAGTGACATTTTCTGGCTGCTTAATGAAAATTTCTGTAAACTGACTTCCCAAATCCTCACTCTGTCTTGTGGAATTTTCTTCTGCAATATTCAAAAAACAAAGTAGCTGAACATGATGCTATGTTATTTCAAAGTATATGTTTACTGGAGTTAAGCAGAAATGATATTTTTCTGGGATTCAAGCAATTCAACACTGAAACTGTATAGCTGGTATGAGTAATGCAATTGAGAATAAAATCTGTATTTGTAAAATAATTTTCAAAGTCATTTAGTGATCACATTTACTCAAAGACATCAGGTTAAACTTCTCTTAGGATAAGGAAATTGTTTAGGGCAATAGATATATTCTATCTTGAATGTGATTGTGCTTATACTATGGTATTCTGAGTTTTTTTCAGCACTGGAGTTTAGAACCCTGGCCTTGCATACAGCAGTCAAGTACTTTACCACAGTGCTACATCTTTATCCACCACTACTGAATTTTCTTTTGTCTAAATTTACAAGACTATACAAATTCAATGAGTAAGTTTTTTTGTTTGTTTGTTTGTTGTCCTTGGAGCCCCAGCTGTCCTGGAACTCACTATGTAGACCAGGCTGGTCTTGAACTCACAAAGATCTGCCTGCCTCTGCCTCCCAGGTGCTGGGATTAAAGGCATGTGCCACCACGCCCGGCATGTTTTATCTTACATAAATTATATCTCAAAATCCTTACTCCTCAAATAACTATTCAGGGTCAGGTGTGTTCAGGGTCAGGTGTGGTAGCACATGCCTCTAATCCCAGCATCAGGAGGCAGAGGCAGGTGGATCTGTGAGTTCCAGGCCAGCCTGCTTTACAGAGTTCTTGGCCAGCCAGGGTTACACAATGAGAGCCTCTCTAAAACAAAAACAAAATCAAAACCTAAAACACTATTCATTGCTAATTGTTACTTGTTACTATATAATTTAATTATAAAATTAAAACAATCACCTGCAGATTCTCTAGTATCTATTTCACATACAACCTAGAGAACTATTTGGCAATAAACACAGAATTTAACATTGAATTCAAAGTATTTCATCCTAATGCAGGCATAGTGGTGCACACCTTTAATCCCAACATTCGAGAGGCAGAGGCAGGCAAATCTCTGCCAGTCTGGTCTATATAGCCAGTTCTAGCTCAGGTGAGGCTATAGGAAGATCCTATCTCAAATTCCCCCCCCCCCACAAAAAAATAGTCCTATAAAGATTTTATAACCCCTTGTAGTGGTGCTTGATTATAATCCCAGGAATAAGGAGGTTGAGGTAGGGTGATGGCTAGTTTGAGGCCAGCCTGATCTACAGTGAGACCCTGTATTTTAAAAAAGGGGGGTAGGGCAGAGAGATGGCTCATCTGGCAAAGCAATTGTTATTTAAGACTGATGGCCTAAGCTCTATCCCTGCAACCCATATAAAGGTGAAATGCAAGAACTAATTTCATGAAGGTGTCCTCTGACCTACACATCTGCATTCCTCATCCTAGCATACACACAATAAAGTGCTTTAAAAATATTTTATATTTTTCTTTAATGCTTAAAATTCTTGTTGAGGGGCTTTTTGAGACAGGGTCTCTTTATGTAGCCCCAGCTGGCCTAGAACTCTCTTTGTAGACCCAGTTGGCCTTGACTCACAGTGATCCACCTCCCACTATCTCCCAAGTGCCTAGATTAAAGGTGTATGCCACTCCCTCAGGTTAACACTTAAAAATTAAAAAAAAAAAATTTATGTGTATGAATGTATTGCCTGCATGTGTAAGCACACCTGTGTCATGCAATGCCTACAGTGGTCAGAAGAGGGCAGTGGATCCCCTGGAACTGGAGTTACTGATGGCTGTTAGCTGCCATGTGGGTACTAGGAACTGAACCTGGGTCCTCTGCAAGAGCAGCCAGTACTCTTAAATACTGAGCTCTCTCTCCAGCCCCTTAACATTCTTTAAACAATATACAGTATCTAATAGTGTAAAGCATTATTAAAACAGGAAGAAACTGCCAAAGCTTTATCAGTTAAAATCTGCTTACAGTCATAAAATGAATTTAGACATGGCAAATATATACTCCTCCCCATGCCCTCACCCACCCCAGCCATAGCTAACTGATCACAGCACCTGCTGGCAGCAGAATCTTTTTTCCCATATTGCTCCAGGCAGTGTCTATAAACCAATGGAGTTGGCAGTCAAGATCAAACCTGTTTACTATCCCTCAGGACATTCTTTTAAATTTGAGATTTTTTTTCCCCCTTTGGTATTTTTGAAGCAGGGTCTCCCTGTAGCCCTAGCTGTCCTGGAACTCACTATGTAGACCAGTCTGGCCTTGAACTCACAGAGATCCGCCTGCCTCTGCCTCCCAAGTGCCTGGGACTATAGGCGTGCGCCACCACGCCCGGCTAATTTGAGATTTTTAAAAAAAATTATTTTATTTTATGTGTATGAGTGTATTGTTTGCATGTGTGTAAGTGCACCTGTGTCGTGCAATGCCCGTGGAGGTCAGAAGGTGTCAGAACCCCTAGAACTGTAGTTATGGATGGTTGTTAGCTGCCTTGTGGGTACTGGGAATTGAACTTGGGTCCTCTGCAAGAGCAGTCAGAGCTCTTAACCACTGAGCCATCTCTCCTGCTCCTTGAGATTTTAATATAGTATAGAAATGGTAAAAATAAAATTCATCTGATAACAACAATTAAAATCAATGAACTTGGGGCTGGAGAGATAGCGCAGTGGTTAAGAACACTGGTTGTTCTTGCAGAAGACCCAGGTTCAAATCCCAGCATCCACATGGCAGATAACAACTGTGGAACTCAGGTTCCAGGGGATCCAACAGCCTCTTCTGTCTTCCGTGGGCATTGCGTGACACGGGTGCACTGACCTACATGCAGGCAATGCACACATACATATAAAATAAAAATAATAAAATATATTTTTTAAATGAACTATTGGAATACAAAAGGGATCAAATTTTATAAGCTTAAGCTGAGTGAAAGAAGGCAGAACTTCTTCCCCAAAGTCCATGGTGACTCATCTCTATATAGAGTCATGATGACTTCATCTCTATAAAATTAGAAAACAACATATAGTAACCTATGGACAGAAAGCAAATTTGTGACTGGATGGATGAAGGGAGAGGCATCTTACAAATAAGCACACAAGTCTCTGGACAGCACATCATTTTGGTAGTGATGGTTTCAGAAGCTTATACTTATGTAGGTATAATTATTGTATACCAATTATACTTTAATAAAGTTGTGAATGTATGTATGGGGGGAAGAAATCTAAGTAGAGCTACCAAGTGTTAGATATCACATTTAAATATGTACATATATGAATATGAAATACATGGTGGCTAACAACTGTCCATAACTTCAGTTCCAGGGAATCCAACACCCTCTTATGACCTCTGGGGGCACTGCACGACACAGGTGTACTTACCTACATGCAGGCAATACACTCATACACATAAAATAAAAATAAAAATAAAAGCCAGGTGTGGTGGCGCATGCCTTTAATCCCAACACTCCGGAGGCAGAGGCAGGCGGTTCTCTGTGAGTTCAAGGCCAGCCTGGTCTACATAGTGAGTCCCAGACCTTGTCTGAAAAAGACCAAAAAAATAAAAATAAATAAATAATAAAAATAAAAATATTTTCTAAAAAATTTGAGATTCTTAGTCAGATGTGGTGGCGCACGCCTTTAATCCCAGCACTGGGGAGGCAGAGGCACACGGATCTCTATGAGTTCAAGGCCAGCCTGGTCTACATAGTGAGTTCCAGGACAGCTGGGACTACAGGGAGACCCTGTCTCAAAAAACAAAACAAACAAACAAGCAAACAAAAAATTTGAGATTCTTTCAGGTTACCAGTAATGACTGGCATCATCAAGATGTAAAAACGTGTATTTCCAGAAACATTCTTGCATGAAAGCAAGTCTTAATACTGATATTTTAACTATTATCACTGAAAACTGCATTCTATCTACTACGAAAAGTAATTTTTTGACTTTATTACTATTTGGCTTCTAAAAATAAACTCACTATAGATTCTAAAAGATAAAAATGTTTTTTTTAATTATTAAATTTTATTTTATATGTATGAGTGTCTTGTCTGCATGATGTAACCATATGCTTGCAGTGCCTGCAGAGGAAGAAGAGGGCATTGTGTTACCTGGAACTAGAGATAAGGACCACTGTTAAGCCACCATGTGGGAGCTGGGAACCAAACTCAGGTCCTCTGCAAGAGCAACTAGTGCTCTTAACTGCCTTACCATCCTAAAACATTTCATTCATTCATTCATTCATTCATGTAGGCGGGAGGGGAGAGTGTGAAAGCCTCCTCACTACCTTTGTGGAGGTCAGAGGACAATTTGGTCCTCTCCTTCCACCATTTGGGTCCCAGGGATTGAACTCAAATCATCAGTCTTGGAAACAAGAGCCTTTATCAGGTAAGCTGTCTTGTGGGCCCAGTACAGATTATTTTAAATGACATATGTGCATATGTGTGTGTGCATGTGAATGCAAGCTCCCCACCCAAGCCAGAAGAAGCTCTTGGATCCTGTTGACCTGTAGTTACAGTTGGTTGTGAGCTGCTCAAAGTGGGTACTGGGAACCAAACTCGGTTCCTCTTCAAGAGTAGAACAGGCTCTTCAACCACTGTGCCATCTTTCTAGCCACAGTACAGATTATTTCTGAACATGTCAATTACTAATCTTTTCTCCTTTAAGTTTTATTTCTTAAGTTTATGATAGCTTCTGAAATACTGGTTACAAAAGCAGTAACTATTTCCATTTTAGGAAAACAGGTAGAGGAAGGAATAAGTAAAAACATATACACACAGCCAGGTGTGGTGGTGCACACCTTTAATGCCGGCACTGGAGAGGCAGACAGGCAGATCTCTGTGAGTTCAAGGCCAGCCTGCTGTATACAGCAAAGTTCTAGGCAAGTTGGAGCTACAGGGAGACCCTGTCTCAAAAAGACCAAAAATAAACAAAACAAGGTAAAACCAAAACATAAAGCAGGCTTGGTATTACAAAGACCTAAGATTATTCCTAACTAACCCCAATACTCTATCTAGCATAAATACAAGGA